GAGAGAGTACTTGTTAAAGATGGTACAAGGGGAGGAGATTTGCTTAGGAGAACTAGGGGTCAATAGAAGTTAGGGAGTACAGAAAGGAGAAATTCTATTTAAAGAAGTAGGAGAGAGTGGCATTTCCTTTCCATTCTTAAGCTTTATGGTCTTAAAAAGTTAGGGTGTAAGAGGAAAAACACACTCTCAATGCTCCACTCATGGAACAGTTCACTTCTAGTCACCAAATGTATGGGTTTTTTCCCCCTACATCAAGCAATTCTGCAACACCAGCTCAGTGTCCTACATCTATAACTCAATCAGCTCGGACAGTATCTATCCGGAATTAGCATCAGATCTGACAGGTTAAGGACTCAGGCAAACCAGACTCCCTCTGACTCTTTCAGATGCCAGTCTCAAGTCTTGGCTGTTCTCTTGGCTTCTGACTCACCAGCTATTAAAAAAAAGAAAGAGAGATTCCCATGACCTTCTTCTCTGGTCCATTTTTTTGCTAGAGTGGTTCACAGAAATCAGGAAAACATTGAGCTTACTACATCACCAGTTTATTATGCAATGATACAACTTAGGAAGAACCACATGGAAGAAATGCATAGGGCAATGTGTGGGACAAGGGGCACAGAGGTCCCATGCTTTCAGTTGGTCTGTCCCCTGCCAGCACCTGCATGTGCTTACCAGTGCAGAAGATCTCTGAATGACCTCCTTTGGGCTCTCCAGGAGGCTTCATTACCTAGGCATGACTGATTAAATCATTTGCCATTGGAGACTGAACTCTGCCTTCAGCACCACTCCCCTTCCCAGGGGTGGGTGGGAGGTAGGGGGACAGAAAGGTCCAACCTTCTAATAACAGGGTTAGTTCAACTGGCAACCAGCCCTTATCCTTAAGGGTTTTCCAAAAGTCACTTCATTAATATTAATTCAGGTAGGCTGAAAGAAATTGTTATGAATAACAAAATATACATTTACTGTCCTTATCTCTTAGGAAATTCCAAGGGCTTTAGGAGCTCTGTGCCATAAACTGAGATCAAAACCAAATATCTATTCCTTACTATAAATCTCAGTTTCACGAAGGGAAAATCACCGGTGGAGAATGAGGGAGTAAACAAATGAGATTGGCTTTGGGGGAGAGTGGAAGAGATAAGGAGGGTCTCTTGCAGAATAGCCCTCGGAAACCCTGTGATATATGGCTGAGAACTGAGGACCAAGTTTATTGTGGATGGCATAGGTTATAGCAGATTTTCCCAGCAAAGCTCCTCTCTGTCTCGAAAGCAGCATTTATTTTTGTAGACATGTGCATGAATGCCAGGACGGCAGAAAAAATAGGAAAATAGAAGTTGAAAGTGAATTGGAGTTGGGAGGCTTAAGTGGAAGTTTGTTCTGTATAAAACAGTGAAAAAGTTTCTCAAACCTCAGTTTCTTCAGCTGTAAAATAGGAGCAGGGCTGGATCCCAAAATGGTATGCCCATAACTTCTCTGTTAGTGCCCCCTATTCTAGTCTGAGATCATTATATGTTACAGGATGGTGGGAAAAAAAGGGCAGATTTTATGATGGAGGTTGAGAATAAACAGAAATAGATATTTTGCTAGTGTTTCAGAATGATTGTTTCTAGAACTGAAAAGTGAATATATTCATTCAAAGATGAATACATGAAGTAGCAATTCATACTAAATTATGACTTCACGGTTTTGCTTTGCAATCTGCAATTCTTTCTATACATGTTTGGCTCATGAATTCATGAATACTATCTTTATATAGATGCTGCTTTTTTTAAATCTCACTGACATACTTTTTGAAAGTATAGATCGCTGAGAAGTAACATTGGAATTTACAACATAATCCACTACATTTAGAAGGTGTCTTATCATGTGGTCATCTCATGGCTTTTAAACCATTATCAAAAATATCAACTAGCTCAATCTCACAAACTATATTAAAAGGGACACATTCACGTTTCCCCTTTATGTCCATGTCAAAGATAAGCTAGAAGTAATTTAAACACCATGGAATCATATCTGTCACAGTCATATCTTTCTGGTGGTATGGAGTTCATTTTTTAAGGCTACAAGTCCATTAACCTTCACAAGAACAAAAATAAAGCAAAACAAAGAAACACTCTCTGGAGAAATGCATTGCTTCTAATCTTATTTATATATCTTAACTGTGGGGATTTAAGGACTGAACAAAGACCTCTGCCTCCCCATGCACACACACAGAAATACATAAACCCTGAGATAAATAAATCTGTAAAATGCCTAGCAATGCATATTGTAGATAAATTTGTGATTATATAAAAAAGAGAGTGGGTTTAGGAAGAGTAACTGATATCATCCCTGTTGAAGCTCTGTCTTGCCCTGTGATTTGTAACTGGGAGGCCAAAGCATCAACCCCATTTATTTTTAATGTCTTGGTCTGCTCCTGGCTGCTGCCACTTCCCCTAGGTTCATTCACTGTATATATCTGAAACTATTCTTCGTTTCCCAATAAATGTACTGTCAGAAAGCCAGAGGCTGATGATAAGGTAGGATACAAGGAGTTCTTGCTTGTTTTTATATATTTCTGTTTGACTCAGGAGATAATTATAACACAGATTGATGCTCTCATTTTAAACAAGGTAGTAAATCAGCATGAAATATAGAATTTGGGAAAGCCATTTGCCACATAATTATAATTTCTTAAAATTCTTGTGTTCATTGAATATGAAAAGCTATAATCATGTGATACATAGCAATAGCATTACTCTTTTTCTTTCCTGTTATGGAAGATAGTTAAATAAACTTAAGTCACACATTTTTAAATATTATTAGTTACAAAGCTTAAATATGATTAACTGAAGCAAAGCAAAAACTTACATTAGTTGGTCCAGGATCTAGCTTGAAGTAGGAGAAATTACAGATTCAGGAAGCAAAATTGAAATACGTAATGACTCAGTGCACTTTGTTTAAAAGTCACGTCTTTTCCACAAATAAAGTTTATATATTATCATGACACCACTAAAAGTGTACAATTTTGATTGGTAGAGAGAGTAGAAGCAAAGTAGAAATAAGCGAGGAGTCTAGAATCAGAAAGAGACAGATTTGAGGATGGACCCTGTCAGGGGCTATATTCAAAATATCTATCAATGAGAACGTCAGGGACATAGATCCCTCAAGGGGGCGCAGACCCAGCACAGAGCTCTAGAAACCCCTCTGATGTCAGGATTCACACTTTTAGTTGCTAGATTATGCAAGGGAGGATTGGGTGGATCTGAGTTTCTGGGTTTAGGAGGCTACTCAGGGTACTGGAGGAATTAACCAGGACAAATGCATTTCTATACTAACCTACAGAAGTAGTTAAAACTACTTCTAACCAACATAGAAGTAGTACAACATTTTCACAAGCAGCAGAGTCATAGAGGTGCTGACTTGCTGAATATTAGTCCTGGATGGCACCCATTGTTTGTTTGCTTTGGTAGTTTAATATCACTGAGCCAGCCAAGTGAGAGAAAATAAAATGATGAGGTTTTTTGGCTAGTTATTTGACAGCTCTACCACCTCTTCCATCAGATGGAGAACTTAGTCATCACTCATTTCCCTTTTCCTAAGGCCTTCAGGGTACATATTCCCAGAGCCAAGGGCAAGTCCTACTACAGAGCTGAGGGACCTCCCAAATTTTAGCCAAATGCAGAAAAGGAGCAGAGTTTACACTCGATCCTGACTTCTAGCTTAGGGCTTAACGCACCTGGAAGCTGATTCAAGTGTCTGTAGTACGTAGTCCAAGGTGCATCCTGTCTCTCCCTTTCCTCCTCTTTTGACTCCAGTCTTTATTTGTTTGTTTAGAAATGATACACTACTATCTCTGCATTAAACTGTCTGGAACACATTCTTAGTTATGATACCTTGTAACAACAATTATGTACATAAATGTCTGTCAGCCTAACTTTGCACAAGCTAGTTGGTTCCAAAAGGAAACTTTATTATTTATTCATCACAGTTTTCAACATTGGAGAAATGATTGTCTTATCTCAAAGGAGTAGCATTAGTATGTCTCTATATACTCTGTAAAGCATAGCACTTCTATATGTTTGAGAGAATCACAGTTAAAATCCCATAATTTCAAATGCCACATCTTTAGAGAAAACTATTTTAAAAGTCACAAGAATTATCAGAGAACTAGGAAAGACATAGAAGATTTCACAAGTGATTGAAAGAACAAAATGTACTAACAGTAAAGAAAAAAGAAATGTGGTGGCTGCAAGAAAGGTGAGAAGTTTGCCTGTTTCGTTTTTCCATTACATGTTTACAAGCTGCCAGTGTAGCATGTTTTTAATTAGAAAAGATTGTCAGTGGAAAATATGGTTGGTGAAATCACCTAACCATTCACTCCAGGATTTTTTTTTTAGATCAGTGCTTCTAAATGTTCTCCACCAAAACTTTTTTCACTGTGCTTCTCCACAAATTTTATATTTTGACTTTTTAAATACAAATTTTAGCTACTGAATAAAAAATTGTTGTTTCTTTTTTAGCTACTGAATAAAAAATTGTTGTTTCTTATTTTAATTAACCAGAGAATTATAACTTTCTGAGTAACAATACTCAGAGTGACAATCATAAAATAACCGAATAACTTCATCAAAAAAAACCCCTGACACAATTGTAACTAAGGTAAAGCTAACTCAAATTTTAAATATCCTCCATAATCTTTTCATAGCTAAGGTTCAATGTCTAAATTCTTAGAAATAAGAAAATGCTTTGAAGAGACCCACAAGTACTATTTCCAGAGCCCCAATATTTAAATATTCCAAATTGGGTTGCAATGGTTTGAATTAGTTTAAAATTATCTAACAAATATGATTCATTTTCATTTGAAGAATTAAAGTTTTAATGTACCATAACTGTCTAAAAGTGAAGAGGAAATCCTGAAGTTCTTTCAAATCATTTTTCCTCACCTTTTTCCCACCTCCATCTGTCAAAACTCTTAATTGCCTCTGAAACGCAGGAGTGGGAAGCATCCAGCTCGTACTCACCTGCCTGATTAGTCGTGATGCTGACTGCAGCAAACTGTCTTGGTGGTGAGCTCAGCTCGGACACCCCATTAATGGCATCAATCTCAAAGGTGTAGTTAGTGTGTGCCAGGAGGTCTGTCACTGTCACTGTGGTATTGGTGAGTCCAAACTGTCGAGGAAGGAAGCGGACATTTGGGCTGCATGGCTCACACTGTTTGACATTCCACCCACATTTTTTACATATGATGTTGAAGGTAACATCTTTCCGGCCTCCTGTGTCCAGGGGCCAACTCCAGTCCAGGATAACCGAGGTCTCGTTTATATTAGAGATAACATTTCTTGGTGCAGATGGAGGTCCTGCAAAGTAGTTCAACAAAGATTAATGAGCCTCACTTCTGGTTTCTACTACAAGGGAAAGAGATAATTTACAATGGAACCAAAAGAGGTAAATAACCATCTTGTCTTTATTATACACTTTTAATTTGTCCTTAGAGGATCCATGAGATTATAGACACATGGATACAAGAGCACTGTACATTCCAAGCTATGAGTGGGGGAGGTTTGACTCAAGATTGAATATGCATTCAGTAAGTTCAACAAAGAAATTTACCACTAAATTCAATGCCCTTGTGAATAGTTATGAAAACTTTAGTATTAGTTTTATAAATCTTAGTTCTTTTCCCCTCTGACCTATGACCAACATAAACAAGAGGGAATAGAAATGTAAAAACACAATTCCCATGCTTGTAACCTTCTCTATCCTATCTAATACAATGCAAAATCTAAAACAAGATGCAGAAAACGTTCTTTCTTTCTGGGTATCCTATTGCAGGAAGTACTTTAAAAATTCATTCACTTTGCGTGATAAATGTTGCATTTGTGGTGAGCCAAGCATGGACAGTGAAGCAGAGAAAGCTTTCAATTGCACATGGATAGCACAGGAAATGGGCCAAATGATTTAAACAAAGAAGAAACACAATAACAAGGAGAAAAATACAAAATAAAACAAACATGGAGGCATGGGTTGCAGCAGAACTACTCACGGGTACAAGCCATGGATGGAGGGTCTTTGTCTGCTCGGAAGTAATTATTCTCACACCTGCAGTTCACTGAACCATCTTCAGGAGTCGTACTGTGAGGTGGACACTTAGTGCATTTCATGTTACCATCCAAAGCCTTGTAGAAACCTGGTCGACAAGCTACAAACAAAATTACTCTTTTACAATTCTGTAGTCATTTTGAAAATGTATGTTTGAAATATGTAAAATACATTTCAGGATGTTAGGACATGCATTCACTTTAAAAATTAATTTTTTCTTTCCAGCACTTATAGAAGCAAAAAACATGGCTCAGTGTAGTGTTTCCACATATACATTTGAGTTTGCACCAAATGTTAAAGGGGAAAAAAACCCCTACAAAATTTAGATTATTTTGGCACGAGAGTGTGATGAAATTTCCAGCTCATGTTTTTGCAGCTTTCCTTGGCATTGTGGTATTTGGGGAGAAAATAGAGCAAAGCCATGTCGTCATGTAGCTGCTCCCTGCTCGAACATGACGAATTCATCTCCACAAGTTGTAAGCAACTGTAGGAAGAAATCATGCCCTCTTATAGTTCTCATGAACTCGAATTTTCTTTTCCTGTCTCGGCAGTGTCATTCTGTGGTAGTGGCCTAAGACAAAGAGTGTAATATAGTCCCTTGTCTATATCTCAGATATATAAGGTGGTACAATTTCTATTTAAATAAATATATCTTCTTTTCTATGTATCAAATCTAGAGAGGTACAATTTCTATTTAAACTGACATATTTGTGAATTGTTACTAGATTAAAAGCTTTTTAAAATGACTCTGGTTACTTTCTTTCTTTCTGACCATGTCTCTGAATGACGTGTTTTTGTTTTTGTTTTTTTTTAATGGAATGAATGGGTTACTAAATATTGACTTCAGCTCCATTGTGTTATTTTTTCATTTAATCTGATATTAAATTCAAAATGCTGTACTGTTTTGCTTGATCCACTTTCACAATTACATTGAGAACTGAATTCATGGTGAAAATCCCAGCAAGAAGCTCTTTGGCATTCCTCTGAGGAAAGGATTTGGGTCTAAATTTGGGGGGTCCTTCAGAATATCTCTGGAAAGGAGTAATTTCTTGAATCTCTATAACTCAATTTCAGTGCTACACTAAAATTTGATGATATAAAGTACTTACATATAAAATAGGCCCTATAAATTATCTTTATTATTGAATTCCAGAATTTTCTTATATCAGCTTCTACTGTGAATAGGTATTTGCATTTAAGTAAAACCTGTATAGACAAATATTAAGTTTTATAGTCATTAAATGCATTTTTAAAGAAGATGCATTATATCCATAATAGCATATCTTCCTACTACAAGGTTCTTGAGAAATTACACTGCCAAGACAAACAATTAGAATCATAAAGTGACAGCAGTCATTCATTTCACCTTGTTTACTAGCTCCAACTAAGAATGGCTGCTCTAGGACCATGTTACATTAAGCTGAACAATTTTTAGTATCACTTGAAAGCCACCAAAAATAAAAAGATTATTGCCCTAACCAAACTTGGATTAGGTTTACAAACTTTTGAACATTGTCTGTAAGCATTGGTTAGAAAGTTCTACTCATATCTTCTGTTATATTGCCTTAGAGGAAATTATATAAAGTATAAATAAACTATGCACTTAACTTCTGGTTTCAATTTAGCTCATCATTGAAGTGCCTTTAAATTTGCAAAGGGGCATTACTGAGTCTTTCAAGATTAAGTTGCTCTGTTCTTGTGTTTGCTTGTAAGTTTACCTATGGGTCATTATTTGGAACTATTATGGTTTTTTAAAACATTTAGCATAAAGGTATTTGCTAAACAAGCAATCACTTGCTGTTGCTATTATAAATAACTATGCTATGTGATACTTAAGACAAGACAGTTATACAATGACATCTTAGCTACAACACTATGGCCAGGATTTCTGTAGTAACTTAAATGTGATCAGTAATAACTACAATTAATGAACTTAGAAGTTAAGAATGTTAATACACGTTAGTAACCTAGACTTGACCTAATTATTAATAAATAATCTTACAGATGACAATAGTGCAATATAGGCAGGCCCATACACACAAAGTTTAATAAATATTTGTCAATCATTTACTCTTTTTCAGGCTATTGGGCAACCTTAAAGATGTAAATTCTCTAATGCTGTCTGTCCCCATGGTCCCCTGAAACTGGAAATAGGCCCCAGACCTTAACGCAGGCCACATGAGCGAGCACCCCATTCTGCTTGAGCTGTTAGAGGAGACTGCACAGAGGAATCTCATCTGAGAAAGACTATGAAAAGATGGCTGGAGCTGTTTTGTGAGAGCATATTTAAATACACAAATAGATCAACATGAAAAGACAAACTGTTAAGCAGAGGAATGTGGTGGGTACAGTTGGTTGCGTACTCAACATCCAAACTCTGCTTCCTGCTTGCTAATAGAATCCTGATTTGTTCAGAATGGCATCCCACTCAGTGCTCCCTTTACTTAGACTACATTGAAAATAGTGATGAATGGCCAGAATTATGGCCAAAGAAATATAAACGGGAATCTGATGAAAGTCTTTGGAATAGCTTTTCTTTTTTTTTTTAATCTCTACTTCATCTACATTTTTCCAGAATTGATTATGGACATAATGGCTTACATGTGACAATACATTAAAAGCCAAGAAAATCAGAGAGATGTGTACTCTATACTTGTTGACCCAGCAAGCACCTATCTCAAGATTTATTATAATGTCAACAAATAAGAGCTTATTTGTTTAAGTCACTGTGGTCAAATTTGCCTTTACTCATACCAGAAAGCATTTTTAACTGACATAAAAGACAAAGAGAATTTAGTTGAGATGTATTGATTAAATACAATCATTGCTTAATGGAGCTAGAAAGATACTAAGGATCACATCGGCCAGCCTGTATGTTCTACAATCTTCAGTGGACACTGCAATCCAGGATATTAGGTGACACACAGGGACAGGCCCACTCTCATCTTCTGGCTGACAGACTTCAACCACAAATTCATAGATATTCATCAAATACCAACGCTATGAGAATACAACGCTAGAGTCTATATCTTAAATTTTGGAGACGCTGTCTGAAGGACTTTCATATGTACAAACTCAATTAAATCTCAACCATTCTGTTAAAATAATCAGATGTTAATCTACTCTTTTTACAGAATGGACAATTGAAGCAGAAGCAGAAAAAGTAGTATGCTCACAATCACAAAGATATTCAATGACAGTGGGAATAAGCAAGAGATTTTTCTGCTTTTAACTTTACATAAATCACTTACTAAAAGTAAATTATTCTCTAAAACCATGAATTATCTTTTTACCAAATTCTCAATTGTTGGTATGACATTGAGGAACAGTCATCTATAAAATTATTTAATTACATTAATCCAAGATTTTACATCTATTTTTAGTAAAAGATTATTTGGGAAAAGCTAATATTCTTTCTCTAAGATATTCTATTTGATGTCGAACACTGTTATGGGCAGATGAGTGGTTTTAGCTGGAAGGACGAAGGGAGTCTGTCAATTTCAAAAACAGTGACACACTCTGTGTGAGAGGCATAAAGTAAATGCTCCCTTTCTTGCTATAAGCAAGATCTCTAAATTCTCCACCAAAGTTGTTCAACAAATTTGAGAATATAACTGAATAATTTATATTACTAACAAAATTATTACACTGGTAGAAAGCATGTGTAAGGGGAAATTCTTTATACAACATACTTGCTTTAAAAATTTTGTAATCAATAAATAATTTCTCTCCCTTATAGTAAATCAACTTGTGCTTAAATACATATCTACCTCTTGTACCTTCTTCATCTTCAAAATATTATTATAAAAGAATTTGAAACTTTACCTTGAATGGCATAAATACTTATCTTTTAGTATCTTTGCTTATAATGGTAAGAGCTATGGTCTTAATTTGAAAGCACCCCCTTACCTACCTTGAATATAAAACTTGTGATATAACAATCTAAACATTTCTCTCATTTAAGCATTATTTCATAGAATGAGAAAATTCAGCATATTTTAAAAAAATCCACACAATGAGTAGAAAGTAAATATGTTTTGTTTTCTTTTATTACTTAAGAGAAGTCTTAATTAAGTTATTACAGAATTTCAAGGAAAACAGAGATCAGGCAGGAAGAGTAAACAAATTAATATTAACTCAGGTTTATCCAGTTTTAGGTTTTAAATAAAGAACTTCTGCTATATGGTCAAGGTCCTTGCTGGAGTAGGCCAGATACTAAAGTAATACTTGACTAGGGTGGTTACACGCATTAAAACTCTGCTGTCAAAGTGACAGAATTCTGATTTATGTCTTCCTCACCTCTCCCAGTGGAACATATTTGTATCAGTCAGATACTGGTAAAATTATTCATAGATTTCAGTCCCAGGGTAGTAAAACCGAAGAGTAATTAAGCAGGTTAAGATCCTTTAAATGGAGACAAATTGCCACCTTTTTTGTATGGGGTCTGAGATATGTTTTATATCCTTACCATAATAAAGATTCAACTAGTTAAGTGTGGCAAGAATTCTCATCTTTGATTTTGTGTTGATAATGACAACTAAAATGGGAGATAACACCTCAAACTCTATTGGATATCATCATGGATTACTAGGAATCAGATCTGTTCATATAATGTTTGAATTTCATTAACTCACTCCATTGAACAAACATGCATTGATCTAAAATGACCTGGACACTTTATTGTGCTCAGTACTATAGTGATAAAAGGCACAGTTCAAGCTTTAAAGAGGAGGCTATTCTGTACGTCATTGTTATTTTAGAAATGGATCTCCTCACTTGAGAATGTAAATCAGTGTTAAGATACTTTTCAAGATGACATTTTTATGTTATCTTCACCAAGAAATTTCAAATTTTTCTTATTTTTATCTTAGTACTTCAAGGTGCTTTGAGCATCTTATAGGAAGAACACTGGGCTGGGAAAGAGGAAATGCAGGTTTTGATCTAGTCTATTCTCCTAGATAGGTATTATCACAAATTCACTGACCAGGTGTCTTTAAATTTTAATGAGGTGGTTGGAATAGTGACTCCCTCTTCTATAAGTATGTCTAAAGTTTTGCTTGGTAGTTATTTTTTATTCCTAGCTTAGACCTCAGCAATACA